TTGAACCGCCAGCCTTCTAGTTAGCAGTCAAGTGCCTTAGCCACTATGCTACCAGAGCTCCCTCTTTGTATCTAGTCTTTTCTTTTTATAAGGACAACAGTCATATTGGATTAAAACCCACCCTATTCCACTATGACCTCATGGTAACTTAACTAATTATATCTGCAAAGATTATTTCCAAACACAGGCACATTCACAGGTACTGGGGGTTAGGATTTTAACATGCCTTTACTGGGGAGACATAAATCAATGTATAACACCTACCTGATGCTTCATAGTGAGAAATACTGCCACAGAGTAAATGATGTTCTGCTCTTTCGTGCTCTCCACAATTAGCGCGTTCTTTCCTGAATGCTGTGCTTACGGAAAAGCCAAAGGCCAACCAGAGAGCAAGGGGTTTTTTGGAGGCTCTTAACTGACCTTGTGTTTGCTCTGTGATACCTGCTATAGGAACTAGGTTGTGAAGTTTGGGCCCAGGGTATCCTCATCTCTGGTTGGTGTGGACACTGTCCGTGCTTACTATTTCACAGATATGAGGGAGCCTTCTCCACAGTCTTTCTGTGGAGAAATTGTTTCTTTTTAGAGGAAGAAGAATGAGTAGAAGAGACAGGAGGCAAGACAAGTCATAGGCATCCTAATGGAATATTTCAGGAGAAAAAAATTAAGATTGAGTGGTCTGGGATGACTGATGACTCACACTTTGGAATTCATAGTATACTCCATTAATCAGGGATAAACACAATGAGACTGTCTTCATTCTTTTGTCATTCTTTTTGTCAAATATTTGGAAATGTTTGTGGCACTATTATATATGTAGGAGCTCTGGTGGCGTAGTGCCTAAGGCATTTGACTGCTAACCAGAAGGCTGGTGGTTCAAACCCACCAGCCACTCCTCGGAAGAAAGATTGAGCAATCTACTTCCATAGAGATACCGTCTCGGAAACCCAAGGAGGGGTCACTATGAGTCAAATCCTACTTGACGGCAGTAGGTTTTGTTTTTATCATGTATGTGGCTCTGTAAAGGCTTCCAGGAGATAACTTCATAGCTGGCCTTCCTACAGGAGTTTTTTTTGGTCCAGCTAGGTGAAGCAGATATCCATGTGAGGAGATAAGGACACAAGACATGTGTGCAGACCCCTGGGCAAATGCAGAAGAGGAAGTAAGGTCTGTGAAGTGAACTCCTCTGCAGTGCAGTCAGAGGGGAAGCAATGTTCTGTGGTCCCCAACATTCATCAAAGGTATATAGGCTGAGTCTGGTCTGAAACTAGTTTGGAGGCCTTTCCAGGCACATTGGAATGTGGAAGTGGCAGGGGACACGGGCTCAATTCCCACAAAACCAAAAAAAAAAA